GAAATGGAAATGTCTGTCTTTATGATTGTAAACCATGTTTATTAGATTTCTTAATGTAAGGCTGGTGATCCCAGCAGCTAAACTAGAATACCAGTTAAGACTTTGCCTCAATACAGAGTTTTCAGAAGTGTGGCTTAAGTAACATTTAAATAAAGAAAGTTAGATCTTTTAACTGTTAATATTTACTAGCTTTTTTTTTGCTGCAACTGGAGCGTTAGCATTAATGTCATGCTTTATTTATTTATTTTAGCCGAGTCGAGTTAAAAAGGCTGTGTGAAATATTTACTCGCATGTTTGCTGATCCTCACAGCAAGGTAAGATCGCAGAGGCTTGGCTCGCTCTCTTACATTACCATGTGTGTACATTTGACATGGTTCCAAGATGAATGTTCTGTATTTCTACCCCTGCCATCTGCTGGGGCAAACTGGCATTTATAAATCTCCTTGATTTTTATCTGTTTTACAGTGAAGGGATATGTCTCAGTCTCCCTTATATTGCTAGAAGCTAGTTATTCTGTGCTTCCCGAGAAGCAACCTAATGCCTTTCAGATGTTGTCTCCTGAAGCGAGAGGTTCAGGTTTATCTGTACTTCTCTAGGGAGCATCTTGGTGATGCACAGCAGAGTGAGGTCCATGAAGGGTAATGAGCCATAGTTCAGCATCCTGGTCACTGGGGTTTGTGTATTCTGTATACCTGGGAGCAATATGGAGTCTCACCAAGATACTGTTCTCATAAATAAATAAAGCCTTTAATATAGCTACCTTGCCTCCTTTATAATACTGACCTTTGAAGCTAAAAGCTGTGGCATGAATTTACAGATCAGAGGCAGACTGGGGAATGGGGAGGTTGGGCCCACAGGCATGTCCAGACCCAGTGGTCTTCTGTCAACAGGTAAGTGGGAGCAGGGAGCTGGGAAATAGGAGTTTCATGCCCTTTCCTGAGGAAACCAGTAATGGCTGAGTAAAAACATCTGCTGTTGGGTTAAATACAGTTTGAGAAAGAATAAGTTGTATAAATATTTGTGCTTCAGACCACTTGGTAAACGAGTTTTAATAAGCGATTGTAAGGTGGAAGTCCCCTGGGCAGGCACAGTTGCTTGTCACAGGTCTTGCTTGCAGTGTGCATTTCTGGCCATAATTTTAGTCTGGACCAGGTATCCCACGGGCCTCGTCGTGTGTGGCAGTTCCTACCTGTAAGGTCTTAATGTTTTGCCTCTCAGAGGTTCAGCATGTGTTATGGAAAGGGTGAAAGTGTAGCTATTTGTTTGCAAAATATTTCCGATTTCTGAGTAAGGCGAGGGTTTATTGCACACTGGAGTCAGGTATTTCCTCTGTGGCAGCAGTGATCTGTCATCTGCACTGCTCTGGCAGGATTATTGCTACCAGCTCATTAGTTGTGGTGTTACACATATGTAAACTTTGTTATGTATAAACATATATAAACACATTACTTTCATGAGTGAGGAGACTGCATCTAATCCAAAGCATATAATGTTTTAAGTAACTCTGAGGAGGAATTGTGTTTTAAGAAAATGTAAACTTTCAATGAATGCATCTTTTATCCGTTGACAAGCTGCATCTGAACAACCAGTCTTGATCACTGTGTGTGCTAATGAGTGGTTTGTTTTGTTGCATGGCCTGCTTTGCCGTGGAATTCACAACAGAGAGTAAGTGTATTCTACCCCCTTCCTTCATTTGTTTCATGTGGTATTTTAATACGACACATTCTAGAAGTGTCTTGTCTGATTTTTTTTTTCTAGAGGAATGTAGTCACTAAAATTCATTCATTAAACTGTCTATAACGAAATCATCCTAAGACTCAGATTGTAAACCCCTCCCCTTTGATTATTTTTATTTAAAGCATGGTATTCCTTTTTGTGACAGTTGTTTTGTTTATAGGTCTTCAGCATGTTTCTGGAAACCCTGGTTGATTTCATCATAATTCACAAAGATGACCTGCAGGATTGGCTTTTTGTTCTCCTGACACAGTTGCTAAAGAAAATGGGAGCAGATTTGCTGGGGTCTGTGCAGGCAAAAGTTCAAAAAGCTCTGGATGTCACCAGGTAAAGTACTCGGCTGGCAGGTGGTGTGCAGATTTTTACAGAATTACAGGGAGGCATCTGATGAACATTTTGGAAAGCCAATAATGTCATATATTTTGAGGACTCAATCTTGATGAATACCAGAATAAAGTAGAACGAAGTTATGTCACAATATTTCAAGCATTGAATTAAAAAGGCCCGTCTCTTTTCTAAATAGGTAACTTGAAAGCGTAACACTTAAAATGTGTAACTGATTAATTAATTTGTTTTTTTGGTGTGCATATGCTTTGATATAAATTTTCTTTTTGATTATATATTTGCAGTATTTGGAGTATGAGTGATGCTTTACCACAAAGTTCAGAGCATCTTTCATATGTTCGAACAGCAGATAACAGTAATGTCAGGATAAGACCTTGAATGCTATTGCAATGTGCGCAGTGGTTCTGTAGTCCATGTCCTTTCCTAAGGATGTCCAGCACAGAACACTGTTACAATAAAGTCCAGCTCCTCCTGGAAATAGGAAAATTAAGAAAGAAGTAGTAACAATCCAGGAGAAAACAGGATGGATGGAGGGTAAAAGAGGAGAAAAATCAAAACTGGGTGTGAACTGTGAGGAAGGGATGAACCAGTCTGCTACTAGACATAAGGGAACAAAGCACAGCATGAAATGAAGAAGGAAGGGACAGGTGTGCCAAAAGCTGGATAAATGTACAGGGAGCAAATAGAGTAATGGTGTATAAAGGTATTGATTTAGCAGGTTTTGGTAGTATTAAATCAATAATCAGATAATCCTTAGACTTGGAGTTTCTCTGTTTGATGATAAAGATGAAGAAACACATGATACATGCTGAAATCTGTTGTGTAAGCTTTAATGTATTGAGTTAATTTAGTCCTGAAAATTTAAGTTGTATTAAATTTTTGCCTTTATTTTCTTTGGACAGGGATTCTTTTCCATTTGATCAACAATTTAACATTTTGATGAGGTTTATAGTAGATCAGACCCAAACACCAAACCTGAAGGTCAGTATCAAAAGCCTTTTCATTTAAGCATCAACATGGTTGTCTTAGCTTGCCATGTCAGGCATACTGTAAAGCATAGAACTCATTGCAAGATAACTAATTGTAAGTATCTGCATGACGTAGAATGTTATTGGCAACTTTGATTAATACTCTTGTTCTCTGTTTTAATAAACCTAAATATCTTTGAAATAGGACACTATGATTCATCACAAGTCAGTAAGAGTTGGGCTTTAGGCACACGGGAATGTATTAGAATGAAGTTTAGACATGGAAAATTCCTCTTCACCCTGGTCTTGATGGGAAGGAAGCCTGGCTGTGCAGGACAGAAGGGACCATACCCAGTCTGAACTGCTGGGAAGTTGGGACCCCAGGCACACCTTAAGTGCTTGTTGCACAGATCAGGCATAGCATGTGTAGGGTTTGGACACAAAACCATCAGAACTTTCTGTTACTGAATCCTCCCAAGGGAATACTGTTGTGCAGACTGTTTTCAGGAGGTTGCTCTTGCAAGGCTATAGGAACACTAGATTGTGGAAGTCATGCACATTTGTCTTCCAGAGACAGGAGTATACAGGATGACAAATTACTTGAGTGTTCTTTCTTCAGTCTCCCAAATTTTGAATCTTTTGAGACTCCACCAGCAGGCATTTGATTTGAAACCAGAAGCTGTGTTTTGGCATCTGGAACAATAACCACTGGTGGCAACAAGAAGGTGGAGTACTGATTTGCTTATGCAAATGCACAAGCAGGCATACGTATTTCAAGCCGGTTCTGATATACCAGTCATGCTACACAAAATTTGTCCTGGGTAGAAAGTTGCTCTTGATTTTTGAAACATGACATAGAGCTGTGTCACAGGGATTTTTTTTTTTCCCCCCCAATGTGATGCAGGTCTTGTCAATCTGTAGTGGTATGTGTTTATTATGGGATAGGTCCATCTTTGCCAGCTCATGAGATTAACAAATCCCTTTTAACTTCTCAGGTGAAAGTTGCTATACTGAAGTATATTGAGTCCTTGGCAAGACAGATGGATCCAACAGACTTTGTGAACTCCAGTGAGACAAGACTTGCTGTATCTAGAATTATAACTTGGACAAAAGAACCAAAGAGCTCGGATGTGAGAAAGGTAAACTCAGATGATGAAGCATTTGCAGTAATTACTGTTCTTCAAAAAACAAACAAACAAAACCAAAACAAAAAAAAAAGCCCAAAAAATGAAAACACAAACGAACCAATATGGGTCATAAAGGTAATGAAAAATTCAGTGGTTAGATTCTAATTTAAAAAAAACGGATTTTACATATCTTACTGTCCAAACTGAATTGCCAAATTTCACCTTTCCAAAGCATGTCTTCATATATTTCTTTTTCCTAATAGGTACTTAGCTGTGTGACTTTTAACTACTATTACCATGCAAAAAGAGATCATAGTTTGAAAGTGTGCTTTCTCTTGAGCAATCTGGAAATATCTCTAGGCTTTTGTTTATTTAAGTGAAGTCTTTGTGCTTTGTAGATTCAAATAAAATCTAGCACAACTTCTGTGGTATAATATTGTTAAAAGAAAGTAAACAAATCAGTAAACTGCCAGGGCTCTCAACTCTTTTCTTTTAAGAGCTGTGTGTTTATCTCAACCTGGAAAAAACTGACACATTTAGGTCAGCCCTGGGTAATACAGTTACCTTGTTCTTTATCTTGCTGTAGATGCAAGTGTCAGGCAAGCTAAAATGGGCAGATAGTGATACTCATCTCTCCCAAGAGAAAAGTGAGACTTAGTTTTATGTACCTGGCATCTGTAATGCAGTTTAAAATTACCTTCTTTTCCCAGCCCAGATGTAGAAATAGATTCCAGTAGGAGTTAAAGGCTTTGAGATATACTTGGATTTAAAAAAAAAATAATCATCCAACTTTAAGCATTTCAGAATGTAAAAATTGTATGAGATTTCTACGCCCTACATGAGCTTAAAATGTTGAACACATACTAGAATAACTATTTTATAACTTTGGAAATATGAAAATTGTTTTTGTTATTAGTGATTATTTGATTCTGATGAAAGAAAGATCACTGGGTATCAGAGGTGATGCAACTGCAGCATTATCTGATAGCTGACACAAGGCTTCAAAGAAGATTTTTGGGTGCATGCTGTTTGCTTTCTGGCATGCAGCTGATTGGGTCTAGAGAGAAATGTCTCATCCTCTTTTCTGAAGACTTTCTCTAGGGATTATTCACACTGGTGTGTCTGAAATTTGTTTCTGCAAGATAGTCTGCCTCAGAGAAAAAAGGTGACTTAAGTTCTGGACTGAGATCTGGAACATGCATTTCCATTTTGATGCTTCCCTGTATAAAGTCAGAAAGAATTAAACAGGCAAAGAAGCTGCATCTCTGTTACAGTTCAAATAATCCTCGAGTGGTTTACTCTGCTGGTGGTCTGTGAGAGGGAGTTGTAAGTAATTTAAGTAGAAATATATATCAAAAAGCGAAATCTCTGCATATTGCTCAGCAGAAGAAACATTCCACCATTAGGGGTCATCATTGCTGCATGCAGAATTGAGTGAAGAGTATCTGTAGCAGCTGAAAAAGTTGGCTGTGAAGCTGTGGGATGTGGGGAGCAGGTGTTCAGTGTGGTGTCCTTCCTTCTTTCTATTTCAAGACTTGCAGAGCAAGTCTTTGAGCAAAACTTTGAGCAAACTCCACCCGAGCAAGTGCCGTGGGAGCTGAGGAGAGATTACTTGAATCTAAATTTATTTTTATTAAACCTGCATGTGACTTGAATTTGACTCTGTTGCCTGTAGCTTTCAAATAAATTATTAAACAGTTAAGCTAACTTAGGCTACTAAAAATGAATGCCCAGGTGATCTTTATTTCATCATACCGTTGCTGTACTATGATTTTATTAAGAACATGGTACAAACCACGGGCTTTAGAAGAAACACTGCAGCAAAGGATTTATAAGCAATCATTGGCCATTATCTCAGTCAGGACTGTAGTTAACAGACTATTAAATTCGTTATGCAGTAACGAACTGGATTATCAAGGGCCAACTCAGGTGAAATGTTCTGAAGAACATAATTAAAAAAATTTTCTTCTTTTTTGGAGACTATAACCTGGGGAAAAAGTATCTTTTTTTATATCAAGATGGTTTTCTTTAAAGATCAGAAGATTCTGCCCTCAGGGAAGGTATTACAGTGGCCTTCAAGATCTGAGGTTTTCTAAGTGCAGACCAGACTGTGCATTGTAAACCTTGTCACAACCTAAAAATGGAGGCAGCAGTTGAGGTTACAGGGGAGAGGGGGAAGAACCAATTCAGTCTTCAAATGGTCAAAGTACTGCATGAGGCCTGTTAAGAGTGTAAAATATGGTAATTTTTCAATAGAATCTGGATTTGAGACCACCAGTGCAATCAACTCAGCTCATGCAAGCTGACAAGAGCAAATTTTATTTTTGGTACTGAGGAGTCTTGGCTGCCATAGTCTGGTCCACGTACTCTTCCACGGCAATGCTGGTGCTCAGCCGCTCACAGAGCGGAGGCAGGGACTCTGTCCCCAGGAAATGCAGTCCTGCAGCCAGTGTGGTTGTCACCTAGATGTGAGTTGGTGAATGCAACCTTAATGCAAGTAGCATCTGTGTGTGTGATGGCCATGCTGTTCTGGCTGGATTTTACCTTTGAGCAGATGCAGGTAAAACAAGCTTGCTCGTGCTGGTGGTAAAATATATAAATGACCTCTGTCAGGGGGGAAAGCATGTGGCTGCTGTGTGCACATGGCAATTAGCCTTTTCAAGAAGTGGGTTATATTTTCAGTCAATAGTGGGATTATCCTTTTATTAGTGATCATCTGTCCATTACTGCTGTTCACTATATGTATGATGGTCATGGAGGTCCCAGCCCTCTAGTGTTAAGGCACTGGAGAAAAATAGAACAAAAAGTGGCATTTAGTCCAAAGACCTTTTTCAAACTGAATGATACAACTTTATTAATAAACTTTGCGTATGTTTATGATGACTGAGTACATCTAATAAGCACATTTCACCTGACACCTAACTTGAACTAGAGATCATGTTTTATAGCTAGTAAAATCAGAAAGACATTTACTCAAAGGAAATGCTGTTGTGCATAAAACAGCTTGTGTTCTTGTATGGAATGATATCTGTAGCTAAACATAAGGTCTGTTATCGCAAGAAAAACATGATGTACTTTAAGGAGCATACAGTTGATATCACAGAGTATTATTGACAAAATGTCGTGATTCCCCCTCAGGGCAGAAACCATTTAAGCTGCTCATAGCAGCCATGAACTACGTACGGTCAAAATTATTGTCAAGCTTTGTGTTTAAAATAAGGTGATCCGCAGTGTGTTACAGGTAAATGTCACATTTTAAAGGTCGTTAATACTTAACGGGTGTTTACCCTGCATTCAAGTTAGGATTTACTTCCTACAAGCAGTAGTAGAAGAAAGGTGAGAGACACTTGTCCTCTGCGCTGAACAGAAGCCATTGGGTAGGAACAGGTCACACAGAATTGCATGGAGACTTGGATGGGATGTGGTTCCAGTGCAAGTGGATAATTTCTGCACAATCAGCTGTCTCATCACTTTTTTTCCTCAAGAGGAATTTATCGATAGGCAGGGCACAGATCAGGATTTCAGATAACTGAGCTCTAATTTTGATTGTACTAGCATCTAACCTTGTGTGATGCACTTGACTTTCCTCTGCCATGGTTTATTCTTCTCTGTAGCAGGGCGTCAATTCTGATTTTTCTCTGGAAAATTTATAAGATTTGATTAAATAATTTTACAAAAGCTGGTTAATTACCACACTGAAAAGTAACACAAAATGGCAATGCAGATACCATGATTGCTGGTCTGAGAACTTGAGTCAGTAACTTCACCAGGTTATTAATATTGCCAGCAAATTTATTGTGCAATCCTTACGTAGGTAAAGTGCTTATTGAATTTGGATGACAGGCTTGGGCTCTGCATGGGAAAATACTTTGATCTTGGAAAAGAGCCATCGCTTTGAGAATGGAAATTAAAATGAGGCTTCTGATTTGACTCAGACCAGAGCCTGAAGCAGCTTCATGTCCAAGGCTCGGGTGAATGGAAGCTTTTATTAAACATGAGTGCTCAGCATTCAAGGGGCTGGAGTTGTCTGTGAGGGCACACAGGATCTTAGCTTGTACAGGCTGAAGGGGAATGATGCCTTCTGAGGTGAAGGGCCAGTGATATTGCTTACTGTCTTGTTAATCAGCCAAGCTCTGTTTATAATTATTTAATGATAAATAACAAGATCTGTATTGCCTGATTGTCATTTGGACTAGTAATCTCAGGGAAGAAGACATTTTTCCTTTGTGCCAGATATCTTGACTGGCTTCTCTGTTGATGAAACATTCCTGTGGTTGTTTTACTTTACAAGCCTGAATGTGTTTTTATATGTTATGGACAGCCTCGTGTCACGTGTACATCGTGTTCTGCCTTCCACTTATGTAACTAGGAAAACTTTTTCTTTCAACTGTCCCTCTCATTACTGAGTTTGGCCAAGTTGCTCTTGAGTACAGACAGTGGATGAGTCTTGGTAAGAAACTAGAACCATTGCAATGAATCAAAAAGCCCAGGAGAATTCTAGTGTTACTGTGATTTGCATGAAGATGATGTCTCCCTCAGACTACCAAGGGGTAGGGCCCTCCTTGGATTGGCACCACTGGGTGGCAGGTGTAGTCTAGAGGTGTCCAAAGATAACAAACAAGTGATACATAGTGCAACTGCTTACCTCTTGATGACCAAGGCTCAGTGTGTTCCCAGCTAATGATCCTGGAGCAGAGAGTCCTGAAATTGCAATCCCAGAAAAGAGACCAAGAGTTGACTGAGAGAGAGACAACCCTGAGAGCGAGAACTTCCAGACAGATCCTCATCTATATACTGGGCATGATGTGGAATATACCATTGGCCAATTTGGGCCTTAGTACTAAACTTAAGGTCGAATCCTAGGCCTGCAATTATGGGCTATGCTCCCTCTTAGCTTCTCTTGCACCTGGAGGCGCTGCCAAAGCATGAAGGTGAAAAGTCCTTGACTGTCCTGGCAGCAGCTGTAAACATCAGTATGTTATCAGCTGCCTTCTCAGCACAAATCCAAAACA